GGAGTTATATGCCACAAAACAACATACAATGGAGTTATATGCCACGTAGCAACATATTATGGAGTTATATGCCACAAAACAACATACAATGGAGTTATATGTCACATAGCAACATACAATAGAGTTGTATGCTACAAAACAGCATACAATGGAGTTATATGCCACATAGCAACATACAAAGGAGTTATATGCCACGTAGCAACATACTATAGAGTTATATGCCACATAGCAACATGCAATGGAGTTATATGTCACATAGCAACATACAATAGAGTTGTATGCTACAAAACAGCATACAATGGAGTTATATGCCACATAGCAAATGCATTGGGTTTATATGCCACATAGCAAATGCAATGGAGTCATATGCCACATAGCAACATACATGTACAATGGAGTTATATGCCACAAAACAACATACAATGGAGTTATATGCCACGTAGCAACATACTATGGAGTTATATGCCACAAAACAACATACAAAGGAGTTATATGCCACGTAGCAACATACTATGGAGTTATATGCCACATAGCAACATGCAATGGAGTTATATGTCACATAGCAACATACAATAGAGTTGTATGCTACAAAACAGCATACAATGGAGTTATATGCCACATAGCAACATGCAATGGAGTTATATGTCACATAGCAACATACAATAGAGTTGTATGCTACAAAACAGCATACAATGGAGTTATATGCCACATAGCAACATACAATGGAGTTATATGCCACAAAACAACATACAATGGAGTTATATGCCACAAAACAACATACAATAGAGTTATATGCCACATAGCAACATACATGTACAATGGAGTTATATGCCACATAGCAACATACATGTACAATGGAGTTATATGCCACATAGCAACATACATGTACAAAGGAGTTATATGCCACATAGCAAACATCCAATGGAGTTATATGCCACATATCAACAAACAATTATGTCATTTGCCACATAGCAACATACAATGACGTCATTTGCCACATATCGACATACAATTATGTCATTTGCCACATAGCAACATACAATGACGTCATTTGCCAAATATTTATTTATTTAGTCATTTACTTATTCATTTATTTATTTATCTATTATGTTTTTCCATTTTGTATTTCCTACCAAGTGTCAGCTTTTCTCCCGAGTCAGGAGGTAATGTGAAACCCGTTATGGCCATCACCGTCATCAGAGCACAGGGAATGATCATGTTAAACCCGTAATACAAAGTTCTTCTACGTATGTGAATGTAGAACGAGATATCCGGGTACGGCTCGGGGCAGCAGGGATATGTGAACTCACTTCGAACGACGGGGACACCTGTAATCAACAAATAGTTAAATTTAAGCTCCACTGTGTGTATGTCCATCGGAATTCGATGCATAATAGTTTTATCAATATATATTCATATATGTTTATTATTTCATACCATATTACCTTCATGGTTGTTTCCGATATTACTGACGAACTAATTGCACAGCACTGTAGATAATTACAGTATAAGGCTTTTTTTAATGTGACAGCATACGCGAAGCACATAAAGTAGCATATGATTTACTAAAATTGTTCCTGGTAGAACCGAACGCGGCGTAAAACGGTGACCTGTGCGCACCAAACACTGCACTGGTCGGTACAAACACGCCGGTCTCTGACACGACATTTTATCTCAGTAAATAATAATAGAATGTGTGAATCGAGTCTAAATCTTATTTTGTTCTTATTTAAAAAGAAACAAAATAACTTAGACATTCAACTTCTGTCAACAAATCGTTGATTAGTAATCCCATAACCATTCACATGAGTCACGTGACTTACCAATCAAATCCCATTCGCCGTTTGTAGTAAAAGTGGATATGTCCCCTTCCTCGTAAAGCTTCTGCAGGTCGAGTTTGAAACCGTTATACGTCCATGATCCAAACTTCATCTGACACATCTGCTCGTCAAACGGAAAATATTCTATGTCGATCTTGCAGGTGCTACTCAGAATCCCCGGCGGAATATACTGACACAAACCATCGCTGGAAATGAGGACGTTGGATGGATATGTGCCGTCAAATCTTTCATCGGCGCTGCAAGAAAAAAAAAACAGGTCACGATCTTCTCAAGACGTGATTCGTCATTGTTGGCGGGATAATATTACGACACCTTGACCGAATGCACCTAAAAATCATAGATAGGATTGTTTCCACTATTTTTCACCAATTACCTGCGCATGCGTCAAATGGCCATTGCGTGTCATTTTTTACAAACAAGCATCAGCCCATGATCCTTTGCGTTTTTAGCGTGTGTTGTTATCGTCGGTTGGGACTCAATTCCCGCGCGTGCGCAGGTGACGACCCTCCCGCTTTAATTAGTTTTATAATTTCATACTTCACAGACATTCTACATCAGCAACACTTCCAAAACATGCTGGTTGCTTATGATGAACTATGCCGTGGGACACTGTTGACCTACATAACCCATGTCGCGATTTCTATTGAAGTTTCATAAAAGGTCACGACATTCTATTGCCCTTGGTTGTCCATCAAGTGTGACACCCCTGTTATTTACTATTCTCATTAGGACCAGTCATTGTTTATTCCCCAGGGTGGTTCATGTCGGTATTGACGTGGCACTACCTAAACGCATTTATAAATTTACCACGATCGCTATGAATCAACTTGATCTGAACGCGGGGGGTTACAGTAATTAATTTTGCAAGAAACGTACATAATTGAAGAGTTAACTTCAACCCAGCTGGGTATAATATGCTATCAAATGAAGAAATAAACTCGACAATCTGACTCGGACATATGGGATTCCGGAACAAAGTTCTTTATATACTGCGAGGTATATTTCAAAATCTATAGTCGCGATGACGGACGGAGTCAAGACACAGCCTCAAAAGACAACACGTTGCAATTTTTAACGTCATTTATTGTTTTAGCTTCGGATCACAATTTTATTGTCTTATATGTTATAAGAGTTAAGAAAATCCTTCAGCAACGCGATGCAAATTTTAACGTCATTTATTTATTTAGCTTCGGATCACGATTTTATTGTCTTGTATGTTATAAAAGTTAAGAAAATCCTTCAGCAAGCCAACGGAATGTTGAACTTTGCAAACATAATGTATAATGTCATTTTCACTGACAATACATTCGTATGTTATATGCACGAGTGTACCGATAACAAAATAAATGTTTGTTCCACAAATCCGTAAAGTTTCTCGTGGTTTAATATGAATTGAAATATACTGATAATCTAAAAGACACATCTACTGCCGCGCCATCTATAGTTTGAATATAACAATCCAAACCACAGTAACACATGCATTAAATCGACTTTTGAAACATATTTTCCCTTCGGGCCAAGATAACAAGTATCCATATTTGTTTAACCCGCATTCAAGATAAATGCGTACAGATTTCTGAGTAGGTTTTACCTGAACTCGAGTAGTATTGCAAATCATATGTACACAGAAAAAAGGGCTTAGATGAGATCAATCCACGGTTTACTGTACATGGTGTGTTTAATTTAATCGCTATTCAAAGCGCGTTCGATTCAGAAAGCAATACTCCATCAGAAGATTTCAAATTCTTATACACTGTCATATAAGTAATATTTTTCAACAATACAAGTATATGTATTCACCTGTTATAGAGCAATATGTCTGGTATCCATATCTCACTGGGTGGCACACGGATGTCGGTGATGTTGCCATACTCTTTTGGGTCCCATGCCATGTAGGCATCCAGCCAGTACTGTGAACGAAGAGGGGAAAATGTGTTAAAAACCCTGCGTACACTGTACACCTGTCCAAGATACAATATGGCATATTTTGCAAAGATTTTTTTAAAAATATGATTTGATATTCGAATCCGTTCACACGTTTAGCAGCCAATGACATTTGTTTCTGCGGCTGAGAAAAAAAATCTGTTGGGAATCAAGAAAACGTGTTTGTCCGTCGTCATACGAAATTCAGAAATCGTATACATTGACTTTCGAATGCCCCTACATATCTACATTCAACTTCTCAGAAAAGATAAATACAAAACGGTGACAATGATGGTGACTCACATCGCGGTAATCTAAAGTGACGAAGTGTCTAGCGATAATCATGGTGACACTGGAAGGCTTTATTCAAATACACGTAGTACTGGGAGAGATATGGTATACGTAGGGAACGTGCGTTTGAGGGACAAAACAAGTCTCGTAGCTTCCTTACTCTCAATGGCATTTCGGCGGCCATTTGTTTATTGCAACATTCTAAATTCCTTATATATTCTGACTTGTGATAACTGTAGTTTTGGGAGTTTTTTATTTCTTCGTTGGGACTTCTTTTGATTATAATCTGTGAGACTGGTGGATTAGCAGGTTTCCCGACGCTTGTCACGTTTTCATTATTTTGTTTTGATTTTAAGTTTATTCTGTTAGTCCCACTGTGAATTCGAAATCGCTTATTTTTTGTTTGTGCGTATATTCGAGGCGTGTTGGAAGGATATCAGAGTATAATCCACATTATTTCAAAAGTTCGTAGCAAAGAAATATTGCTACGAGGAGAAAAAACAAACTCCGACCCATTCAAAGAGGCTGACTGCTATAATAAGTGTTTTCAATTTATATTCAAAAATTGCTAATTAGAATATCCTGAGGCATCAGTCGATTAGACAATATACACGTTATCAAACATGGCGGCGTTGTTGTGTAATCCTGCTGATACCGTGTCAGTATACAAAGTAGTAATCTAAACGGGATTTAATAGTCAGGCGCCCTCGCACAGACACAATTTTAATTTCACACTAATTGTATAAGTGGAACTTAATTGATCCGTACATAACGTGTTGAAATGTACGCCATATCAATTTTAGAACTTCGAGCCGGTTTATTTTGTCGTGACCATCCTGCTATCACTGTCAAACTGTTTTAGTTTTTACATGTCTTGATACGGTGGCCTTCAACTTATGTTGGTACATGTGTTTTGTGTGTCTTCGATGTCCCTATGTTTATCATCTAACCTCCATTCTTTTACGTATTCAGAATAGCAAACTACCACAGTTGATTGGACATGCAGATTCTAGAAGACCTCACATATTGCACGATTCTATATTTATTCTCTATACAAAATTGAATATTCGTTGAATTTCAAATATACAATATCAGTGAAGAGAACGTAATATAATTAGTACCGTCCTCTCATATTGATCGTGGACATATAACGACAGACTCTCTATATCTTAAACAATTGTTTTAAACATTGTAGATACATTTCATCGGAGGTATCCCATTGACGTAACCTATTCCTGAAATATCAAAGATGTATTTATTCATTGAAGGGTGAACCGTAGACATAAGTGGTCTGTGACAACATTTTACGTGCTATCCAGTTGTAGAACTTCTTTGTCATGTGATTTAAAATTTGCGAATAAGCTCGGAATTTTAGTTGTTTTTTCACGAGATGGCGTTTATCTCAATCAAATCTCGAATGGACGTTGTTCAACAAATATTTAATTTTACGATCCGTCGTCACACTCTCGTCTATAAATCTGATAATCGCATGAGCACGGATAAACGTATCTAGATTGCCGTGTTCTCATACGTAGCGTTAACTACTAGTATCACACATATTACGATGCAGCACGACACCTTGTTTGTTTCTGTAAAACTTTCAACTTGTCATAGCAATTTTCCATAACAGTAATTCGATGTTTTACTTCACAACCCATTACATCAAACACGTCGGTTTGATTACCGCCCGTGGGACAGTCGCGTCACAAGAGACGTGTCGAGATTCTTTTAAATATGAACAAACCCCTCGAAACTAGAACTCGCTTTTTTAACAAGGTTTTGCTATCTACATCGCGACGGTGTGATTTTCACCTAGCAGGTGGCACGAACTGGACACATGTCTGTAAGAAACACGGCAAAAGTAATTACGAAATATATTACATTGCTGCGCTTCGACAGTTCCACTGCCTGAAAATGCACTTTATCCAATATCCACCACGCAGGCGTTATTACCCGTCAACAGACAGAACTAAACAGCTGGTGGCGGGCAGTGGAATAGCACAGTTTTAACACTGCGTGGAAATTTCAATTCAAACCGTAATATGTTTAAATAATTTCGTTTGATATTACATCTCGATAAAAACAACAGATTAAGATTGAATTTTTTGATAACAAGCACAGCAGTATGCGTTGGATGTTTGATCAAATAATGCAAAACACTAGTGCGCATCAGCACTGTACTAATACATATACATACACGCACTGGCCAATTTCGCCAATTCTTTGAACGAATCCTGTTATGTTTATTGCCAAAATCACATTGTTTTTTGCGATAAATTGTATCTTATTGTTTTTATCAAGATGAAATCAAAACGAAATTACTTAAACATGACTCAATTAAACTACATGCTCCCTACTTTCAGAGACAATTGGCCAATTAGTGTCAATAGTCATTACTAAATGTCAAATCGTTACTCGTTAGTGTCCTCTATCAGAATGAACATGGATATTACATTAATTTAAAATTATGGTAGGTTAAATATATTACAATTGAATACTTTTAATACAAAAACCTAAATGAACGTTGATACTATTTACTAGATTCGAGTGAAACTACATGGAAGTATATAATTTCATGGTATGGCACGTTTTTCCGAGACATTGTAATCAACCCCGTCGTCAAACATAGTAAACGTTTTACCTCGGCATGGGGTATGATGCCCCTTCAACTTTGAATCACTCATCAACACTCGTGCCCTTCTCGACAATCTTAAGCCTTGCAGCGCATTTCCGACTGTCGCCGTCGGACACACGGTGACCTCAGTGACACATACGCGGCATCACAAAAAATCAACTGTAATCACAGACATGCTTAACTATTCCGCAGGGAATTTCTATGACATTGCTAAACAAGACAAGACGATGTCTGACATAGCGTGGAATGGGAATACGCGGCATTTTAGGATTGTCTATGAAATGCAAAACGACGCACTACAAGTTCATGTTCATATCCAAGTTAGTACTGGTGCAAAAGACGCCAAATATGCGTGACGTCGTCATGAATTACGAAAAACCAAAGACACTAAAATTGAAAAACCAAAGATATCATTTAAGAACAGTATTTATAAATTATAAACATCACTGCTAAAATTAACTTGAACTTGAATAATACTATCCGTCTCGATCGAAACGAAATACCTTATACAGCATTAAAGTATTATCATAAATATTACAAACTATAGCAGCCAAATGAACTCAATAGATCTTAGACACTAAATGGCCGTCGAGATCTTACTGAAAGCGAGATGGCCACGTGACTCGGCATTTCCCCTCCCGCGAATAGTCTTCAATTCACTTCCGTCATCGCGTTTACTGTTGTTTGCCTGACCTTTGTAACCATGGTAATTGTAACAGTGGACCCAGGGCAGTGGACGTGATGACGAAAGAGAATTTAAGGTTGGAAAACAAATCTCGTAGCTCTCTCGCTCTCAACGAGATTTCGGCGGCCATTTGCATCTGAGGTCTACTGCGTATACGTGGGTGGCAACGCCAGAACGAAGGATTAATCTAAATTTGATAATATTCACTACGTACTTTATTACTTTAGATATCACGACGCACATGTGTATCTTACTGTGATTTAAACTATTTACTGACAGTGATTTATTTTAGTAACATGATCTTTTAACTTTTTCACCATCAGACTTCCTTGCCCCAAATTGTTTGTGCCTTTTCCTTATATTCTTTCATATTTCTGGAAATGAACATTAATTTTGGAGCCAACAGACATAATTTTAGCCAAATTTCAGTTTTACTCAAAAAATGGCTATTTTTGTCCCATAATTCTGAAGGAAATTGCAGACTATAAACTGGACTATTTTTTTAAATTTGAGATGAAGAGAGAGAACTGGTGATGAAAAGGTTAATAGCGCGGGAATATTTGTAGTTAGTATTTGCATTACAAGTGCGAAAACGTAAAACGTATTAGTTTCTTGGAATGGAAATAGATACATACATGGCGTGTATATTTCAGTAATATACCAAGCATCATCACATACAGAGTAGCATCGTTGAATATAGACATATGTAACGAAATCGATTCCAGATTATTTTCATGTGCGTGCCAGTCATAGACTGAAGCTATTGCTTGGCATCGTCCCACGTGGCGCGACATCACGGTTTGTTACACAGAATCAATATTATGATACATTGTATACGTAGGTGAGATCAGATGGATCGATGGGACTCCTAAGTGCTAATCAGTTTATTGACCCCCGCTATTGTGCTGAAAGATCATGAAATGCTACTTTCCGTTTTCGTGCATATTCTTTCAAATAACATTTATCCAAATTGTAAAAAAAAGCTCCAGAGATCACACCACATTCTCTGGTTTCAATACGGTATAACAATGATGCCACCTAAATGGTTCACGAAAATCACTATACATATTTGCATATTAGTGAAGAAAACACTTAATATACAGATGGGTAAATGAGTGCGCATCTTATCTCTTACGTGGTTCAGAATTGAAACCCAATAAACAAAAACGGAAGCAGACAAAGGGATGACGTTAGTACATACGCTGCTAACCAGCTAGGTCAACATTTGTAAAGTATTTCTCTACTCAAAAATACTAATATGAATAACTCACCACGCGCATCCAAACATTCACTGTCAAAATCTGATTTTTTTCATCCTATAGACAAAAATAAAGCGAGAGAGAGAGAGAAATAAATGTCAATATGTAATAATGTAACATCATATCTGTCAATCAATGTTTCATTACATGAATATTAAGCACATTCGATGTTCTCACTGGAAATAACGCTCATAAAGTGATTTGCAGGATGTTTTCAGAATGTATAACTTATAATTTTCCACACTACACTCAGTATGACAATGAATTCAAACATGTTTAATTTATATATCAACAACAAAACACACGTTCAGTCCACTTCCGGACAGCTTAGCAAATTGGAAAATTCAGCCAATACTTCCAAAAGGTTAATTCAATCTATATGAGAACATGTTCTGAATATCGAGAGTTGGGGGGGATCGGAGAATTGATTACATAATATAAGCGAATATTTCACATCAGCGCTTTTGCGCAATCGAGAGTATATGATATTCAATTAAATTTTTAACAACTTAAGCCGTCATCAAAATTAACTTCTGTAGACTAAAAGAAACCGGTTGGTATAAAATGATAGGCAGATTAACTCAAAATTCCGACTTTTTATTATTAAATCTATTAAGTGCCGTTGAATTCACACCTTTCCGTATACTGTATTCTGACATGCATTCATTTAAATGACAGAGGTGAAGCGAGCAATGAACGCAAGTGGCATTTTGTGTATTGTTCAGCTGAACGTACTGCCCCTTTCTCGAAGGTGTGACCTCCTTGTCTCGTCGTTGAGTTAACGTGATACATTATATCAGTCACTTACGAATGTATTTAATTTGACATATTTATATTATAACACATTGCACGGCACTGTATGCTATTTAGATTTAAAAATATCTAATTGTTTTGACACCTACAGTCAAGATGTGCTGCCCCAAATCATAATTCGGCAGGACACAGTCGAGCTGACGATTCAATCTGTTGATACATTGATCCTAATAATATTTGATTTTGCCTATATACATGTAAATATTTTGAGCTAAACATTGAGACATCATTTATGTAGATTGGGCACACATGCAAGTATGCAAATCTGTAGTTTTAAATGCAGCTGTCCTCCTCCTTCTTGGTGATGAAAGTGTGCTGAACTGTCTGTAAAGCCAGCCCCCAACTTATATTCTATTTTCTGTTTAATCATGCATTTGTCGCAGGTGTTTTTTCTTCTTCTTCGTTCGTAATTCGTTTTCAAATTAAGGAGTGTCAAATGTTATCGACTGGAATTTAACTAATTGATTTACGTTACATGATGTATCAAGAGAACGAACTCCTCTATCTAATCTGTATATTGGAACAATGTTTACGTCCCGCAACGAAACACATAATGACATAACGTTGTTACCGCATTGCTCGAAAAAGCGTTGTTATGTAATTTTGTTCTTTAACGTAGATTATGCCCACGATTTTATCATATAACTATTTATATATAAGAACAGCCAGGGATGCAAATAAATAAAAATCCAAAAATATGTTTATTCGGCTTCTATGAAAAGTTTATGAAAATGACCAGGGGTATGCTCAGATAGGATCGTTTACCAACCCAGACATAATTCTTACACAAAACTGAGCAAAATAAATGCTGCGTACCTCTTTTTATGGCAGTACATTTAAACTGACTAAGCAGACATTTATATTTAATTAGTGGCCTACAATTTCACACAATCAATATAGAGAACCCCTACAAAAATCACATCAACTTTATAAACTACCCGTACCAAAAGCCGATTTTCACAGCAGACTCCACATCGAAGTTATAAAAAACAAAACAAAAAACATGTAAAACCAATCAGTAGTTTGTTATTTATATTTGACAGCTGTAACGTCTCACCAAAGACACGTGTTTGTGCCAAGTATCAGCAACAGTTTCGAATAACCAGATTGACACAAATGATAGACGTGATGAAAAGTGACACTACTTTGTAATTCATACAGTTGATACAGCTGTGTTGAGGATTGATATGACGGAGCAATTGGATTTATTAAACGATGAAAACATGTCAGAAGTCTTCAAACCAACGTTGCGCATGCGTTAATTATATTAGACGTGGTCATGCATGGTGTTCTAATTAATTTTATGTTTAAGTGCAATATGCTTCTAAGAAGAGCCCTGAACGTGCGAATAGCCGTGATTGTGGTACCCGTTTATTTTCTAGTGTGTTGACATGTGTACTGTGCGGTAGGAGACAGATACATACTTCTCTGCTTATCGATCTTGTACGACAAAATAAATGCATTCCAATGCTTGAAACATATTCAGGGGTAAAGAAACTTTTTAATATGGTGTTTCACAAATAAAACTTGACATAAAGATCCTCATTTATTTATATAGCGTCAAAATGGGTTAGTTTTAAATCCATGATTGCTGCGTCAAGACACGTTTGAATTAGGTTTTGCTTTAAACACAATATAAGTGGAGAGGACATAAATGAGTGCAAACTGAATATTGAAGTTGACACAAATTAAATCCGTTAGACCTTTTTCCGTTAGAATATTCAATTACTATTTGTTTTTCCGGTTTCACAAATAGACATGTTGTCGATTGGGAACAGATGTTCATGTTCTCCTAGTTATATTAAATTTGTACACCGAAGGACGTTCACTAGACTGAATAATAGTCTTGGCAAAAAAACAAAAAAACAACAACAACAACTGGTAATACGGCCTTACTTAGAGAGATTATTCATAATCCCAACTGTAATAAAGGTTCCACTCAAACAAGATTCAGGTATACTAAAGCTACCTATTGATTTACACACAATGTGGGAATAAAGGACGCATCGGATTAACGACCTTCATCAGCGGTGATCAAAGGCGTCGAAACGTGGCCAGCCTATCGCATGTGACTCAATTCAAAAGATGTAATTCTGGATTCGAGGGATTGATATCCATCATTTTTGTTGTGCTGATTTCACTCATCCTCTTTTATGATAATCGTCCTTACACATTCACAACAATCAATTTATTCAGTGGATCAGATCCGGAATGAACTAAATAACCTAATATTACGTACACAGCAGCAAACGAAGTGACATTCACGGAGATAATTCAACCACCGCCCAACGAAGTATAA